GTTGATTGTTCTTGCTCTCTTTAAAATAATAAAGGGAACTATGTGTCAGAAACTTTTGTCACACACGCGAATGCTCAAACTCTAGACCACTGAACTGGTATCCAACTGTGTTAATGTCTCACATCAATCGATTCATGAGCTTGTGCAACCGTTTATCGTTTATCTGAGATGAATAATTGTCTCCACCCAACACGGATTAAGCTTCTCTGTTCACGCCTTCTCACTAGAACTTCAGGAAATCATCTTGAAGTGAATCATTGGTGAGCACATGATGATTATGATCAAGAAAAGGGTTTTTGAAATTTACATAAATTTTTTTTATTTTTGACAAATTACCAGTTGGAGGCTTAAGTCAATGAATTTTAATCATTATAAATGAGATAAAAATACATATGTACCATAATGATTAGTTTTACTACTAGTTTTTAACCCAGAATAATGTATTTCTAGTATTCTAGTTAATAGATTACAACTTTAACTGGTTTATAATTGTAAAGTTAATGAAAATAGTTAATTTATCTAACAAATTATATTGTTGTCGTCCCTTTTTTTGTTTAAAAAAAGGATATTCTCTAAGGACCTTTAAGTAACATTGTTTAGTGTAATATTGGCTTATTTCAATTTAATTTAATACTCTTTATGTATGTTCCAATGAACATATGTTTTCAATAACTATCTAAGATATTTTAAACTAACTAGACTTTAATAATCACTAATTAACTATACCATAGTAAATACAAGTAAATAGTAAGTGAGAAAGTATTCCTAAAAGATTTTTTTTTAAATACAGGTATTTATCGGTTCATGTTTAGTATTAATGATTACTAATGTATAAAGTGTGTTAATAATTATGTGACTGGTATCTTTGAACTATAATGGATGAACAAAGTTCGGGAATAGCAATAATTTATAATACACAAGCCTTATTATTTTAACTAATAAAGAAAGAATAACTTGATTAGATTTAAAATTAAAATATACAAGGAAGAAATATAAAAAAAAACACGATACTACTTATGTATAAATTTGTTCAAGGATAGGAAAAAGTCATATATTTTGTAATATATTATTAAACAAACAAAAGATTTTATGGAATGGATAGATATAATGTATATAGTTTTACTTGAGATAACTTTAGTTGAATATACCATCCAGTGCTTTCAGATTTTCCACGGTGGTCTAGCTTCAATTGACTCATGATTTCAACTATTGAAATTACTACATATCCATAAAACTTTTTCTGATATAAATATACTTATGAATGAGGTTCATATGTTCCATGTTTATTTTATCAAATAAACTTAATGAACGAAATAAAGTTGAATGATTTCAATGGTGTTTTATAAATGTGATTGAGAACTTTAGTTTTACTAAACAGATTAACCTTAATTATACAACAGTCAAAAAACCAGACAGCACTGGGCACTTGTTTCACCATAGTGTAGGACTCTTCAATATTTTGTGTTCAGTACTGCCGAATAAGAGTAGAATTAAGAACCTTCAGAGCTGAAGATCAAAGTGTAACCTTTAGATTGTTGTGTCGGTTATTATGTTAAGACCGTATACTTTATCTAGCTTTCGAACAGCCCAATCTATTTATTCTACTTGAGTCACATTCTGACCTTGTTATATTTATTTGCTTATCAATCTTGACTATTTTGATATGAACGCATAGGTGTGTGTACATTTCTTATCCCATTACTCATCACATGTCTGTAACCTCTTTTTGTGTAACTATAAATATTGATTAACGCTAGGTTAAATGGGAGTTGGCTTAGCCTCCATCTCCACTCTGCATCGTTTCTTTTCTCTCCATTCCATTCACTTTATATACAACATATATGTATTCACGAGTACATTCTCGTTATTCGACTTATTTAATTCCGATACTGACTAATGCGGTTTAAGTCAATTATATGCCAGAATAGGCGATATATATATATTTCAATAACAATCATTAATACGATCGAATTGAAGTCAGAACTCGGGCCACTAAAAGATTACTGGATCACCACTCAATAGCTTTCATTTCCAACTTCAGTTAATACATTTTATTTAGAAAACATTATGCATCGTTATTACTTATATCTCTCTCATACTCGATGTGAATGAGTTTCATATATCACGGCTTTTCACTGAAATAGTTGAGTTATTATCAACTAGGTGTTTTATATTTATTAAACTGTTACATATTAACTTTTATTTTGGAGATGGTGAATTGTACGAACACAAATAGTAAACTGTTTAATCGTTAATAAATGTTTACTTAATGTTTTCATAGAAAAATCATTAAGCTATTGGGTAGTTTAGTCATAATTCATTTATTATTGATTTCCAATTCAATGTATGGTCAATTTATCATTAAGATAAACAAATTATCATCTATATGAATTATCGTTTGTTACTTTATGAAATATGGGTTGGTGAAAATACTCCTCTAAATATCTAGAAAGTTGCGTTCACCAAAAAAAGCTCAAAGAGAAATACACTGTAATAAATAATTATCTGAGAGTAAACGGATATCCTAAACCAATTGTGAAAAAAACATAGTCCCGAATACTGAAGTAAAACAAATGAATACTAGAATAGAAGTTTTTATTCGATTGTCATCTAAAGGTGATCAAATGATGAATAAAACCAATTAAACACTATAAGCAGCTTTATAAAGTACATTCTGAGCTGCGAAGTTCATCTCACTATACATATCACTATGGTCAATAATACAAACTAAAGTAGACAAATATCTATCAAATATAACCTCTAAACGCATTCATCAATTTGCCTGTATATACAAAACCACATATATTAGAGGAACAACGAATAGGCTTTTACTCGATTGAATGGAGATATTTCAAAATATCCTACACCTTCGAGGAGAAATCTAATCACACAGTTCGATAGCACGTTACCTACTAGACACGAGATATGACGTGAATTCAATGAATTCGTTATTTATAAACAATATAATTCCATGTTATTAAAACTTAAAGAAATCATAACAACCAGAAGGCTTAAAATTAACCTTTGTATTCAAAAAAACGTCTGTAGTTAACTATCAACAGCTTAAATAACAGTCTACTCAATGCTCAATATATTTGGAATTTTCAAGTCAAATCTTCGTAATCATCCCTACATATTTTCACATTATTCCTCGTGAAGCTAATTACTGTAATAATGTGAATAGAGTATTAGCATATGCTCAGTTTAATGGATACTTGTCAACTAGTCATTTAGTGTCATTATGTCCGTAACTACTCATTGTATCCTTAATCCATTTCTCAATAGGATTTATTTAGGATACAGTAGATGATTATATTTACATTAAACTATTTGATGGATCATATATGATTAAGCACTTGTAAGAATTGAAAGGAAAAAGAAATACTCAATTCTACTATTTCATTAACATTTTCATTCATGGAAGACAGTCATCTATGATTTATAAGTGATGGTAATTAGTATTTTGACAATTAAATAATAACATGAACAATATAATTAGGGTTTATTCATAGCTTTAGTGAATACGTAAAGCTCGAATACTTGAATTAGTTCAAATATCCATGTGTAAAGAATTCATTAACTGGTATATTTACCAAATTAAGGTATAACAAATTATTAATTGGTGATTTCACTTCTCTCTGTATATCCCAATTATTTCGAAAGTAAGTTTACATTATTTATGTGTATATTCAAATGAAAACATTTTGAAAAGAATTTCAGTTTTCTGTATTTTTAACAAAACGCGTTTCCACATGAGCATTATCAAACTCATCGAATTAGAAATTCATTAAAATGGAAATCTGATATAAATACCTTAATGATTCTGAAATGGATGCTACTTATAAGAAGGATTGTATGTAGCGTGTAGCGGAAAATGGTGTCAAAGTTGGAGCAATTTTCAGACGGAATCATGAGTTTCAGTGTATCGAAAGCATGGCGTTCCCAAAACACTTGAAGGTCAGTTGAGAAGACAGTTGAAATTGCAGAACACACCGAAAGATGCAAATGGACGATTGTAGGCTCTCTAAATATGCCTCATGTACATACTTTATAGCTTCTCGCAATTAATATACATACCTACTGCCCATTGTCATGCTTTGAAGTTTTACTTACAAGTTAAACTGAAACAAGCCAATGAAGAAAACAATCATTTATGAACAAAGTATGCTTGCATTTTCACTGTTTATTGTACTTTATATAGTGTTAACCTAATTTATTGTTTTATGCATTCAACATTCAAGCATAGGGTTTCATTTTATTCATGGTATATGTTAAAAAGAAGGTTAAAGTATTCTATATTTTAAATAATTTATTGGCACCTTAAATAAATTCCCAATGAGTTTTTTGAAGTTTTAAGAAGACACAGTGTCGTGCGTCGTTAATTAAGTTGCATGTTAAGGAGTTATCTGCCTATAGCTTAGAATGATAGATGAATTTTCTCATGAATTTATTTGACAGTAAACTTTTACTACTAGATTTCACTCATATAAAAAACGATAGGTCGTTTTCAGCACACTACCTGACGATCCAATTTTGGACCTTATATGAACTGTTGCGGTGCTTCAAGCCTGAAGAAAAAATGTCGTACATTGCCATTTGGCTTTCAGTAGTTCTCAAATTATTTTTGATTTTCGATGTATACTATATTCATATGGTCTATCGTTTATTCCTGCAATCACTGAAATTAATTTTCAGGCAAACTCTTTGACAGATTAAATGCATTTTCACTTTGTTGTTTTATTTGTTTGGTATAAAATGTTTGTCGTGGCACATGGAGCATAAGATGCGAATACTTAGGCTAGATTGATTTTCAGTATTCAGCTTTGACAAACTATAAACTTTTGAACTGAATGGTAAAATCAAAGTAGTTTCATTTCAATTACCGATAATAAATCAATTGACCATGTTATCCGGATCGCTATCATTCACAAATACTTTAGACGATATGCAAAGAAAAGATAATAATGAAATAATTGTAACAATGTGTATTATTAACTTACTACTACACCTGCTAGATAATTATGACGATTTAAATTACGTAATACGGATTTTTTTCTACCTTGTTTTGATCTAGGATGTCGTGGTAATCTTTCATCATTATCATCTACTGAATCATACATTTGTTGTGCTGAATTGTATGACGGATATTTGTTGGTTTGTGCTGTAGATTGATATGACCATTTTTTATGTAGATTACGACGTCGTCTATCCGTATATTCATGTTGTAAATAGAATAATTCTGAATCATCTATTTCACTGTCATCCTCTTCTTCATTTTCTTCAGTTTCTTCATCTACATCTTCTTCTCTAACTCTATCGTCTATATTCTCATTAACATTGATTTGATTTTGAAACAAACTAAACATATCAGTTAATTGTGTTGTATCATAATTACTTTCTGTAACTTGTGAAGAATATGTTGATCTTTTATAACGATTTTGATTATTCATATCATGTATTGTATCTAAATTAGGATTATCTGTTTCTATTGGTGGAGGTAACATTACATGTACATTTGGAAAACCAAGAAATAATGATGTATATTCTTTAGCTGTACGCAAATTATCAGAACAACCAGCCCAATAAAATTTACTAACTGTTGGTTGACCATCTGTCATTGGTATATTGTTTGATTTAGATGTATCAATGGAATTCATTGAATGACCATCGGAATTATATACTAATGCATTATTATTATCATTATACAAAGTTTGTGAATGATGTTGTCTAAGTAAATTATTATTTTTATATATATGAGATGAAGGATAATTTGGTGTAGCATAACTGCCATCTTCATCACCACAAGAACAATATCGAATTTTATTCAATGCACAATATCGTCCAATTTCAAATAATAATACAGAACTTGCAAATGCATGTACAATTGCTTGTTCACGTGTACCTATAATAGTTATATTGTTAAAAAAGGTAGATAATACAAATGAATTAGCTATACTTTTTACTTCTAAAATACCACATTTACTTTAGTCAACTATGTTGATTTGATTTAGTAGCCTAAGTTCAATTTATCTTGGTTGATGTTCTTATCCAATTGGTCAGTTATGATACTATACTGAAACCAACACTATGTCTACAGACTCTCCAAAGAGATGCAAAACAAATATAACTGATCATAGCTGTAACATTAATAAGTTAGTAGATCTTCATAGGGGGGTTCACATGTGAATTTACAGGATAGTATTTGAATAATAAAATAATTGATATGTGGTCAGAATATAAATAAAAGTATTCTACTTGTAATATTCCAATGGGTAGAAAAATTAGATTTTCTGATGTTTCGTGACTCAGTGTAATCCACTTCTTCAGAGAATAAATAACTAAATCGAAATTAATCCAAGTTTAAATAGTACAAAGGAACAAAGTAAAAACATTAGATGCGATCAATCGAAAAATAGGTCTGAACAAGATTTGTCATGAAACGTCAGAAAATCTAATTTTTCTACTCACTGGGATATTGCGAATATATTATTTTTAATTATAACAATCTACCTAATGCTCATTTTATTTCAAATTATCAAGTCAAACCTTGCTGTCAGATCAGTTTTTTTATGATGCGATGGGATCATTAAACTAACTAAATAGTTTTATTTACTAAGTATACTGTTATGGGTGGGATATTTGACGCTTAACAAATAAGTGACGATTGAAATAATCAAAGTAACTGTGACTACATGTAATCTAAAGTGGATTGCAGTGTAAAGACCAATTTCAGAAACATTATAAAGAATAAATTCATTTTGTATTATTTGTTTGAATCTTTCCATCGTTGTCTATGACTGCAATTGATCAGTCTCTTATTGGCATATGTGCATCCTGTGTGGATTGCCTTGATATTACCTTAATTCACAAGCATTATAAGCAAAGAAGGATGGTGGCTAGTAGTAGAATCTAAGAGTGAACATCAATTCTGGGATGCAGATCCATCCAGCTGACGAGTTTTAAACAGGACAAAACGCGTGTCCTGAATTCCATTGTTAACCACCATCCATCTTTGCTTATAATTCTGAAGAATGTTTTGCGGTTTGTGATGATAAGTCTATTTATGATTGTTAAAAGGATTAACAAAATTATTCGATATGATTCAGTGTGGTTAACTAACACCTTTTCAGTGAATGGAATTATTGACGTAAGTTCCGAAATGAACCGTTATCGAACGATATTATAACTAGAAAACATAAAGGTATTACTTTCTTAAATTGACTTACTAAAACACAAAATATGAACACAAAAATAAATTTGATTCGATAGTATTCGAAAAATAAATATTTAAAAAATATCGATTTTACATATCACCCTCACACTAATGTAACTAATGTGTCTGTAATATACGAAAAAAAACATTTTTAGGTAGATAGTTGTTATGCGACTTACAAACAGTTGTGTAAGGACTGTTTGAGACGAAAATATCGAGCATGGTAAAGAGTGGGCTTCAACAGATTGTGCAGATTACTTGTTACTTTATCACTTTAATAACTGTCGAATGGATCATGTAGACAATATTAAACAAACAACTTGAAGTTAAGATTTCTTCAATTACTTTATATAAGGTATTTTAAATTTTTCAAAGTTATTCTCATAACAAAGTCAAGTTTTTATGAATTGCTTACGGTAAACATTTCCCTCTATGAAATTCGCTTCCTATAAAGTTGAGCAGATTCTATGATAACGTTAGGTTGAAAAACAAATGAGGTGTAGTTTAGTTTTAACAAGAATGTAGCTCTGCTTTTCTTCAGATATCCTCTGCATTATCTACTGAGTTTACTAAATATGATCAGTTCATTTGCTTCATCCCTTATTTTAGTAAGACACAAAAGAAAATAATTTTCAACTAAATTCTTATCTTATTATAAATTTTACTGACGTATGATACTTAATCCAAATCAGAGTACTTGTAGTTCACTTAACTTATCATCACATCCAATGAGAGTTTTGTCGACTTATCTCTTGCATAAACCTCGTTTTTTGACTATCGATTTGAGTATAAGATTTTCACACTTGTTATAAACAAATCAGCTAACAGAGGATTACACTATAACCTCGTACCAATTCCTTCTCTCGATCGATTTTTTTTTGACAAAAGCCTAAATGTACATATCAGATTTCATTACAAGTAAGTTCTCTCAAATAAACCATAAGTTTCTCTATATTTATCCAATTTTGTTCAATACATTTGTAAGTACAAGCCATAACTTCCTATAAAAATCTGTGTATTAATAGCAAATTTATATTTAACGACTAACGTTCAATATCATCGATCTACCATTGCTTTATTTCCAATTGTATTAATTTTACTTATTATAGAGTCATAATAGAACTTCAGAAAATTCACCTTGAATCTATTACCATGTAAATATGTGAGTTACATTTGAGTTGTTAATAAAAACTTCTTTTAACTTTTTCCATCGCGAGAACAATGGTTCCTAATTTTGATTTGGTGCAATGATATATATATGCCGATTGCTTACAATAAAATGTTTGGAGCTACTATACAATATTAAGTTAAATATGATTCAAAACAACTGGATAAATTAAGCCTTTACGTCTTTAGATAATTTATTTTCTGTCTTTGTAAGCGAAATAAAGACGAAAAATCACTGACTAGCTGTCTTCCCTGGTTGTTTGACCACAGTATGTTCAGCTTAGTTTATCGATGCCAAATATTACAGTTTATTAGCTTACTCATGAAAAATTAGTTTTTTAAAATAAAGCGATTAATAAGTCATTGTATTAACCGACAGATTGACTCATTTTTATTAAGTCATTTTATATTTCGCAAAGAATAAACACTAAATTAACGAAAATAAATTACCTCTTCTTAACTCTGGTGATACATGCGGTAATTGATGTATAGAAGTACAATTCCATCGTCTATCTGAAAATGTTTTTGGACAATGATATCCAACAGCATGTGCAGCTCTAAGTACAGCAAGCATTGCATAACCAAAACGTGGATGCATACAAAATCGTGCTTGTCTTCTTCGAAGACCTAATTTATTAGCAGCTTTTTGACATTCATCTGGAGTAAATCGATCAGCTGTCGAATCCACTGGATGATCTGCACTTTTTGGTAATCTGTATATACCTCTGAAATAGTGAGGAAAAAAGTGTTGAGTAAAGATTTTTTAGTGTAAACTATGTATTCAACAAAAGAAAAACTGTTAGTATACTTTTATTTATTATTAACTTCATTCCGAACATTGTCATACAAATAGGACAGAATCATAATATTAGACAATGAATCTATTATAAGATAATTGAATATTTCTTAACTTACTTTAAAATATATTGCCAAGGTTTAAGTAAATTTATCTATCTACATGTTATGAACCTGTTATTTTGTGACAGTATTAAATAACGTTAAGGATAAGCTACTTTTTGATTGAACAACGGAGAAATCAGATATATGAGTTCGCGACAGATGCTAAATATTTCAAGCCATATGGTGAGAATTAATGAAGTAACTAATACTGTAAATTTAGATTTTGTTTATAATTGTATATGATTTCACTTAAACAATCAAGTTATATTATCATACAATCGACCTGAAAATGAGTCAACTTTCATAGTTTCTTTTTGTTATTTTTATGGAACAAAATTATGTGCCACTAACATATTCAAGGTTAAAAGTGAATTATGATATTGATAAATATTCTATAATTGTGTCGTATTTAAACAATAGTGTTTCTATTATTGAGGTCTAATTTTATAGTCAGACTTTTTCGTCTATTATTACTCACAAAGAACGTAGTTTATGTTACAGATTTCGCCAATAAATAAATTGGATTGGTTGAGATTAGACATTAACATCATTGGATACCGACTCAGTGGTCTGGTTGGTTAAGCCCCTGGTGCGAGACCGATAGGTCCTGTGTTAGAACCTCGATGGGTGCGGGATCGTGGATGCGCACTGCTGAGGAGTCCCATACTGGGACGAAACGGCCGTCCAGTGCTTGCAGGTTTTCCATGGTGCTCTAGCTTCAACCGACTCATGTAATCAATCAAATAAATTGATGTTAATCAAAAAAAATCTGAAATATCTCAAAACAGTTTATCTTTCACTTATAGTCTTGAAAACGTTCAGTTTATTGATCAGTCATTAAAAAGCAACTGGTATGATGACACCTATTTCTTAGTGTTAATCGATTTCTAATCAACATCCTTACATGACTTAATTTGATTTAATTTGGCAGATTACAAAACTTTCTGGTTTATCTATTTCCAAATTGTACACATTTTGTAATAAACGTTCTCATGAATTCAATGTGTTTCAATTAACTTATTATATACGGTAAATGCAATTACTCATATGCGTAAAATCGAACGTGAAGCCAACTATTACGAAATTTAAGTGGAAAAACAACTCTGTTTAGTATATATTTTTTATCTCATCCTCCATTTGTAGAAATGAGAGGGAATTTCAATGTATTCGAATATAATCAAATATACAATGGTATGAAAAGACGACGAAGAGGGAGACAAATTGTTTCGAGACGTTCGTGGCTGAAGTGGGACCGAATCAAATGATCACTGGAAAACTTTCCATACATATTTTTTAGAGTATTTCCAAGTTGGAGATTAGGAATTTTTTAACTTTGTATTTCGTGTTGAAAGTTCTATAACTCTGTCCGACGTATAGTATATCTGAAAGAAAAGGAATAAGATCATCCGAAAGCAATTTAGATACAAACACAATAAAACGAAACCCTAGATTCCTGGCTTTCTGTCGACTGTCTCCAAACACCTAATTTCCAAGAAATTTAAATGCTAAGTATTACAAACTGAATCATAAACTGGTTATTACGACATCAATTTTGTCAATTGTGATAATCATTTACAAGCTATTTATAATACTTTAAGAAAGGACACCGCTAAATATTCATCGAATTAAATAAAATTTACTTCTTAACTGTTTCTGGAAATACATTAAACAGAGCTGACTTGTATACTCTTGTATGGTTTATAGTAAAATTCTATCCTATTACCTTGTTGAAATCTGTATAATCCGACTATTAGCATGATAAATTTAAAGAGATAGTTGAGATTGAAAAACAACGAATATTCGAACAAATAATTGTTTTCAATAATATCAACATTAGCCCCTACAATTATAAACTCATAATTATTTTATTTCAGTAACCCACATAAGCCATGTACAAATGAGTTGTGAGTAAATTAGGCAAGCTTGTGTGTTAAATTAGTAAACTTTAGCATCGATTACAGATTAAATACATCGAAAATGTACTATAAATTTCTAAGGTCATTTAAGAAGAGGGTAGGAAAATTCATTGTAAGGTGTTAAGTTACTATCAGTGTAATGAAATAAGTTGTAAATAAAATGAATAATCGGAAAAATGATATGTTCCGCAGAAATGGGAAGATACAATCTGGACCTTCTTGAATTGAGGGAAACACATTTTACCTAATTTGAAAAACAAGAGTAACTTTAAGAGAGATATCATTGTATTCTGGTCATTAAGAAGAAAATGTCCCACACACACATAAAATTGAACTGTTATTACCCAAAGAAGCATGAAAAACGCTTATTGGATGAAAAACCCACAGGTTGTGGATCATCAAAGTATCTCTCGAAACCAAATAAGAAGAGATTACAATGAATGACATCCAGTGCTATGGGCCCACCAATTATAGCAACGAAGATGGAAGACATAAGTCTTATGAGACACTGAAATTCGTCCTAGAATAGTGCCCAGAAAAGCCATGACCATCTTGATGGGGAACCTAAGTGTCTAGAAAGGGATAGATAAGATTGGATATGAATCTAAAATATGTCGACATGGACTAGGAAAGAAACGTGAGCTTGATGAGAGACGAAAAAATTTATATGACAATATTTTCCATCACAAACCCATACAGACGCTACATAGGTTTCACCGGACAACAATACAGAAAATTAGATCAGTTACATTAACATGAATAAAAATTTTATAATATCCATTGAAGACGTAAGAAAAAAGAGGGATGCTGATATAACTTCAGATCAATAACTAAGCTCAGATTGAAGCTAAGAAAGCTTTGACCAGTTGAACAAGCAGCACTACAAATGTTTAGATACAGACTACCCTAGAGATACTAACAAAATCAGCGAATTCAATATAGCTTTCAGTAACGACCTCTAAGCCCCACAAAATCTACCAAAAGAAGAGGAAATGATTATGGTGAGAAAGTGGAAAGGGATTAAATAAACAATAACTTCAACATGCCATGAGGTGCTGGACCACAAGAAGAACCAGGATAAGCAGTGGATCTCTGCTGATATCGTGGGTAAGATTCAAGAACAGTGGAACAGAAATGCAGTATTCAACGGCAGCCGAACGAGAGCAGTGAATGCCAAGAGACAGGGTCGATACATAGAAGTGAACAAGTGAGTTAAGCGGAACATCCAAGCTGATGAGCGGAAATATGTGAAAGACCTATCAACGACAGCAGAAAAAAGCTGCGAAAGAGAGAAATATGAGAGAACTTTATGATATAACGAAAACAGTAGCAGGAAGTATGGTATGTTAGAGTGACCATTCGAGGAAAAGTGGGACAAGTGTGTCGGAAACTTTGAAGGATTATTGAATAGGCCGGCGCTACTGAACTCACCGACCGTCGAAATAACACATTTAGACCCTCTTATAGATATTACCGCTCCAAAACTCGAGGAAATCGACAAGGTCATCGGACAAATCAATAATACAGAAGCTGTTGGACTTGTAATGCCTAGCTATACGTAACGTCTATATCAGTTAATCTAGCTTCCGGACAGACTGATTTATTTCTTCTTCTTGAGTCACACTGTGACATTATCAGTTATTCGCTCACTAACCTTGACTACTTTTTATATGAGTGTATGTGTATTAATCGCTTATTCCACTCATCACATGTCTTTGGCCTAATTTTGTCTAGGTATAAATATTGAGTCCCGCTTGAACCGAACGGAAGATCCAATAGACTCCAAACTTCAAGATCTACAGACAAACTTTCGTAAGGATTGATCATGTGAAGACTAAGTCATGACATTTCGGATGATTGTTGTACAGTCGATTGAATGGAACTTATCACTATACATCAACTATCTTGATTAAGGGAAAAATTTATAGTGTGAATGAAAAAACTTTATGGAATCGTCTTCGATACCCTGGAATAAGTGAGAAGGTAGTCACTGTCACACAAAATTCTTGTGCAGGACTGAAATGAAAGTCTTGGAGCTCGTAAATGCATTCCAAGCAAGGACTGGTGTCAGACAAGTTTGTCTCGTCCCTACCTTTCCCTTTTTGTAAGCTTCTGACTGGATCATAAAAGCCCGCAAAGCTCAAGAAAGGCACAAAATACAGTGAATACCCGGAACTCAGCTTAATGATGTCAGTTTTTAAGATGACTTAGCCTTTCTCCCTGTACACAGTAACAAATGCATACGAAAGTAGCTGATGAATCAGCGATTCCTGCAACAGTAGGCCTCAACATCAACAAATAAAAAGCAAGGATATGAAGTACAATATACCTAGCACCGACCCCATCACACTTGATAGAGAAGCTCTGGAAGAGGTGGGAGCTTATACATACCTGTGCAGTATAATTGTTGAACAAAGAGGATCTGAATCACGTATCAAGGCTCGGATTGGCAGGGCAAAGGCAGCAATCCCATAGGTGAAGAACTTAAATCTGCCACTCAACAACAAAATGAGGATTCTCAGAGTCAACGTTAAGTCAGTGCTGATTCGTTGAGCTGAAACTTGACCAATTACCACTACCATCACTGAAAGGACGAGTATTTATAAACAATTGTCTACACAAGATATTTCAGATCTATTTGTCATAGACTTAATAATGACTTACTCCGTCAAAGAACAAACCAACTGCTAGTTGACGAAATTAGGAAAAGATGCCAACAGTGAATAGGACATTTTACAAATATCACAAAACAAGCAGTAACTTGTAATTTTCAAAGCAAAATGGAAAGAGGCAGATCAAAGGACGTGACCCTGAAAGTTGAACGCAGACACTGAATGAACAAATAGTACTTGGCAAGAAATGGAGAGGAAAGACCAGGACAGAGATGGTTAGAGATTTCTAGTCGGTGG